TTTATAGCACTTATAATTTATAGTGATATATTTATTTGTTTCCTTGTTTATTGTATGTCACATCTCAGAGCAGATTGCTTCTTCTATAAATTTCTTAATATCTGTTCTTAAATTGGCCCACAATACTGTCTGGCATTCTTAGTGAATTTCTTTGGTCAACTCATTCCTCTAAAATGACTCTTTCAACTTCTCCACTTCACTTAAACCTCTGATCTTCTCTTCTCTGCTTTTGATTTCAACTTACCTCCTTCTTCTTGGAGAAAACAGGGGACATAGATAGGAAGTCCCACCACAACCCACTATCAAACACAGAAATCTCCCTGCATCTGCTCCCATCATAGCCTTTACTTTTGTTAAAGTAGAGTAACAGTTTTTCCTTCTATCCAAGACTAATCCTTCTTCCAGTATTTTGTTTTTCATCAACTCTTTCTCAGAAAATTTATTTTTTATTGTACTGTGGTCTATCTTAACATATCCAAGCAATTTCAAACTTATCCTATTAAAAACATTCCCCTTCAAACTAACAAAATCATTTCCTTCTTCCGTATGTTCTTTTGTCATCCTTTTTTTCTTCCTTCCCTTCACAGCTATACTTTGTGAAAGAGTTGTCCACGTTTGCTACCTTCATTTCCGCTCCTTCCACACTCTCCACTAAAGTAGCACTTGCTAATGTCACCCATAAACTTCCTGATACTAAGTCTGGTGGTCACCTTTCATTCATCTTCCTTAATGTTTCTTTAACCCTTAACACCATCAACCATGCCTTGCTTGAAATATGTTCTTTCTACTTTTTTTGATCCCATTCTTCTGATTTTTCTCCTTCCCTTTTTGCTTCTGTATAGTCTTAACCTCTTTTACTGAGTTTTTGAAGTATTTTCTGTGTACTGGGCACTGTGCTAGGCTTAGGTACTGAACGTTCCAACACTGAGGGCTTGATTTCATGTTTATGTATAGAAACAGTTTAATTAGAATTGTAGAATTACGCCAATATCAATGAATTTGTATTTCAAAAATATTCTCCAGGCCGAGCACCAATAAGGCAGTTAAATTGCTTGATTGATTTTCTATGCAATACGGTTTCTAACTTTTTAAATTTTTTATTTTTTTCTATTTTCATTTTTATTTTACTGAGATGGTTTTAAACAGAATCAATTTTTAACTGTGTAAATTTTACAACAAAGATTTGAGTCATCACACCACTTCTTGATCCATATCACATTTTAGTAATTATAACATAATGCAATTTTGAGTTTTCTTTCAAAGAAAAACTCATGACCTTTATTTGTACCAAATTCACTTTTTTTTTTTTTTT